TCCTATTTATCCGTATTTATCTACAGTATACGTGTGGATCATACTTCATGAGTTATCCTCATTAAACCAATAAGAAACACTAACCAGCCTATTCCATACTGATCGGACCATGTTAGGACATTTTTACGGCATGCTGACCCACATTTCCGAGAACAGGAAGTCACAAATTCGCATCTATGAGTTCTTGTTGTCATGTGATCACAACCGCGGGAAGGAAACAGGCGCGTTACAGACCTTAGGTGTAACGCATTCAAGTTCTTACTCGTTCACCTTCCTGTTTTTTAGTCCTGGACTGCCTCAACTCTTCTCTTTCAAGCGCTAATATTTATCAATTATCTTTTATCATTGAATGTTAGTACATCTTGTGTGTAAGCTGACCCATCGGCTCACCTTTTTTCGATAAAGGATGAGGAAGAGATATCTTCCTCTTTACGCTTCCAGATTCTCATCGTCACCATCAAACTCACACTTCTCTACGCCACCTTTGCAACAAGATACCTGATTATAGGTTAGACGAAAATGTATCAACGGTTGGTCGTTACATTCTGGTGTCGAAGCTAGGACGCGGCTCGCCTACAATCAGGCTGATGTGCACTCACACACCATACCTAGCCTCTAAATCACTCAGGTACAAGCAGGCACTGACGAAAGTACCTCTAAGGAAGGGAAGTAATGTAAAGCTTTCGAAACGTACTCATTCATCTTCCTGTTTCGAGTTGTAGACTACCTCAACTCTTCCTAGTCAGGCTCTACCATCTGTCAGTTATCTTTTATTATTATATGTAAGTACGTCCTGAGTACTTGCCGAGTCATCGGGTTGTCTTTTTTTCTTTTTTTTCCATTCCAGATTCTGGTAGTCGCGAAATACTGCTTAACGCACCCCCCACAACAACAGATTTTTTATCTATGGATCTCTCTGGCTATCCATTTCTTATGATCGTCGACCATAGAAGTTTAATTTCATCCTTTATGTAGTTGAGAGTACAGACCCTTCGATTTGATAGTAAAGGGAATGGATTAAATTTATTTTCCGGCTGATAGCAACGAAGCTACGAAAGCTTGTTATTTGCCCATTTCAAGTAGGTTTTTCATGAAAAGATCTTCTGGTGCCCTGCCACTTCTTTTTAACAATAAATCGAGGTAGTATATCCCTGTTTACGGTTCTGTCTCTATTATAAAGCTGGTCAAGGAGTGAATTCTGCTAAAAAGCTCTTGTACATTCTGTTGTCACAGATGATAAATGTATCACTAACATATCATTCGTATAATTTAACGTGCTTGTTAATCAGGTTTAGTACAGTTTCTGTTTTGTGCTTGATATCTGCCAGTATTTAACCTAATTGGGACCCTATCGCTACTTTGTCTTTCTCGAGGTAGATGTTACCGAAACTGCAATACGCACCAGAGGTGCATCTTAAGAGTAGTTTTTCCACTTATTTCGGTATATCGGTGTTAATTGCATTTGAATCAATGTACTGATATGTTCACATATGAAAGAAGCTGTTTCAGTTAGTGAAACATTTGGGGACAGTTAAGTAACATCGAGTAATTACTTACCAACACACATTACGTATAAAATTGAAAAACTGGGATGGATCGCATAGGGAATAGTTAGGAAAGTGTCTTCTGAGGAGGTGGGTTAGAGGTTGTTATGCCCTTTCAGCAACTAAACAATAAGCTGAACTAGACATATTCAGGATAAGGCGTAACGGCAAGTCAGGTTTTTGGATTTTGCGTGCTCCGTGCTCTGTCGTGTAGGGCAGAGCTAGTGATTGGTTCAATTTTCATTCTTTCCAGAATTCCAGTCATGAGGTTCGGTTCTGTTTTCTATTCCATCCGTTCTTTGACTTGGAGAACCTACTTTCGTCTGAAAGAAGTCAAGTCATTTTATCGGTCTGATCTTTCTTGTCCATTGGGGACTATAACAGGACTTTATCAGGATGGGTTGTTATGATTTCTTTACCATGCTTCAATTCTCACTTGGTTGATGTATTTTTTCAGATAACTGCTCTTTTTAGTTGAATGTTTGAGTTAGGGGGAACGGCCAAGTCATTTGGATTTGAAGTGTTCTCGACGTCATAAAGATGTAGCAGTTAGGTCATCCGTCTGATAAATAAGATTCTTGTCCAACTATAAAGAAATTTTGATTTTCTTATTGCTGTTACGTGAACGTTTTACCTGTTACGAATTTCTAATTCCCTTTCATAGTGACAACCGTTACCAAATCTCGAATTTTCTAGTTCCATATTTCAGCGTACGCTTAGTCATTCATTTTGTCAAATATTTCCATATTTCTTACATACTTTCCATTGCTATATCATTTTCCTGGTCACATCCTGCTGCAGGCTATTGATTAGCAAATACTGACATTTTGCCGATGAATGTGTACACTAATCATATTAAGGTGCTATTTACAGCTTTTGAGCATGATGTCACCGAAAACTTGTTTACTGAAGTCTTTCTTTAAAGATGTTGAAAGTAAGTCCCTAATCATAAGAGAGGCTGGAAAAGCTGTTGACCATTTTATTTTTTGAACCCTTCCCAACATATTTGTTTTATGTTTGAAACACAAGCTGCTTCAGTTTAGTTCAATATTCTAACTTATCTGTAATATTTATCAGGTATAATATCCTGTGTTTTTCGTGTTTCTAGGAAGCCATATCAGTTGTGTGTTGTAGTTTTAGGGTCATGGTTGACAGTAATACCTGTTCCTGTATTCACAAACTCTGGCTTTTGTCGCTTTTCGGTAATTGTGTAGTACAAATGCATATATTATTTCGAATTCCGTATTTTCTACATTTACCCCGTCTCTTCATGTTTACTAAAGCTTTGGTTTATTGTCGCTTCTCATGCGATCAATTGTTCTTCAGTGAGTTATTGGCAGCTGGTACGACTGAACTTCATGTATCATTGTGATAGGTTCTGTTTCATTGGGATTCATTTTTTAATGTTACTACGTCTTCACAAGTTATGTATACTTACTCTGACCTTTCACATAAATGTAAGATATTTGCTTCTCTAGCTGTCACCGTTAATGTATGGAAGTATGACAACCGGTAACTGAGAAATGTACTTGACTTAATTATCACAAGTCTTCGCATTCATAGACACTCATATTTCATATGACTTTTGTTGAGAAAATGATTTTACGTACTTAAAATTGACATGCATTAGGATATCTGTTAATTTGGAATGGCATGAACCATGTGGGTAGGTGTATCATTTGATAATTTGTCCGTAGTGAATAATGGCCCCACTTGTAGCTATTTTTCTCTCCAAACTTACAAGTTAGAATGTTTGGTGATACCAAATTAATCGATGTTTAAGTGTGGGTGTAGTTACTTTGTTAACTTCCCACAAACAAATTAACACACACATTTGTCTGACAACGTAGTAATAAACAATTTAAAAGCACCAGTAAGTTGGCAACAGAGGAGTCTGCTTATCCACCCGAATATCTTATTGTGCACGTTTTCATTTATTCAATCTAAAGGTGTTTTTCATGTCAAGTTTAACTCAGCTGAGATAAGGTTATAGTGGTTAAAGTTCATACCCGGTGTTAACGAAAAGTAATTAACAGTAACCAGAATTCGAGCAAATATTATGATTCACTGACTTCGGTGAGAGTGTGGTCAATAAAAGTTTCTGTTTATTTTCCCTGATTACTCAAAACTAAGTATTTGGTTTGTTTAATATAGCTGGATTGAAGCATTACTTGCTCATGACATGAATGTCTGTCACTTTTGAACGGAAAGGGTAGCAAAAATGCCGGTAATATTTATAAGGCAGACTAATTTCTTTTTAGTCTACCTACTTCACCTCAACTCAAGAAACTGTTTCACTTTAGTGAGATTGTATTCTATGTACACAGTTTGTCGTCTGAAAGACTAATTTGGACACAATCACTAGTGGAATATTTTCAAGGGTTATTATGGTTTGTTAAGCAAATGGCCATCTATATTTTGTCGATCCTCAGCCTCTCATTTTTGGTATCGAATTCAGCTTACAGCTGGCTTGTTATGAATATGACTGGAAACAAATTTGAATATTTACTGTAAGGTTTTGAAAGTTATTCTCTGAAGTTCAACTTTTAAATTGCCCTCATGATCCGTCGCACCTTTTCATTCACAAGTTTTTCACGTATGAAGTTAACTAATAATAGATAAAGTGGATGACCGGATTATGTAGAAGTGCTTCATACTATACGCCGAGTCGAGTCATTATTCATCGTGCTACTATTCACCACTAGGCAACTCGTGAAAGTTTTCTGTGATCGGGGTCGTCAGTTGAGTATACATTCATTCAGTCATGTTTTTCATTAAAAAATTACCAGATGTCTTTACTGATGTTAAACCTCACTAACTGCTGTAAGATAGACGCTAGTTGTTCAATGGTTTTATCTCAGATGATCCAGACGGTTTCTTTTTAACTAAGCAGTGTGCAATCACTATGTACTCTGGTGAATGGCACGGAGTTTTTTTCGATGCTATTTCCTGTCTAAGCTGGAAATGTGTTAGAACACGTAGATTTATAAAACGAAATTCCGCTCTATTCTCAAAATCTACTATTAACAAAGGACGGTTTCTGATGAACTAGTGTATTTCAGTAGGCTTATAATTATTTTGGTTTTACGGTTATACTATTTTTTGAGTTTCGTATAATCAAGCATTTGTTTTCTTATCAGAAGGCTCCTTGAATGTTTGTTGTGGTAGATTAAAGGAAAGTGGTTTTACAATGCGAATACCGACAAGTACGGTTTTATCTCCACTGGCTAAAGTTTCACTTTTCAACTAGACATTTTGTATATATCATTACTTTGACTAGATTTGTTTAAATCACAAAACTTTTCTCCTGTTCATATGGGATTATCAGTTTTTGTATCTTATTTACAGAATGCTGTATTATTTACTCTTATTAATATTTGTGGACAGGTATATCTGTTTGAGTTACTAATCACTAATTTTGTTCTAGGTGATTCGTTCTAATTTTTCTTCCATTTAATGAGGAAAGTTTTGTTCAAATTCTCTAAATCATATGGAGACGACTTGAATGTTCATATAGAGGAGTGGTTAGAATTCCCCATGACGTGCACAGTTTTTGAGTGTTCTCTTCAGCTTGCAAGTGTGCATAGCATTCCAGAATTTGCTTTTGGAGGTATATTCTTTCAGATTCATTTGCTAACTTTCTAGCTTTTCATGAAAAATTATCAGATTTTATATCTAATGAAAACAGTAATGACTTTAAAGATCGCTATTTACATTTGGTGAATAATTTAAAACTAAATGCCTTAAATATCGAAAAGCTTTGCTCTGATTTCGATTCTGCGAATCATAACGTAAGCAACTTTTAATCAATTCTCCAATTTAGTTAGGATTTCTTGTCATCTTCAAAATTAGCGAAGCTTAGTGATCAACAAATCTTTACCCACACTTTTAATCGAATGATTCATTCACCTGCAGCTCAGGATTTCGTACATCTTGAAAAGTCGTTCGCTGTCGCAGTTGGTTATGAACTTCATAAACGAAACGATGTCCTTAAAGAAATGGATCAAAAGTAACTGTGTTTTTCATTAAACGAGTTATTTGTATACTGGTCTTTTCAGTAAAAAGATTGTGGCTGAAGCTGAAATCACATAGTTTTTCTCTATAAATTCGAATAGGTTATCTTCAGATTGTTGGTCGAGTGCTGCTATAAGTATAACTATAGACAGATAAATGTAGGTTCATATTTTTACGACTGCTGAGTGTCATCTGGACGTTATTTGAACAGAGGACACTCACTTGTCCTTATGTCATCATATACCCTAGGTTGAATTCATTTTAGTGCGTATAACTTGTCAGTGGTTAGACTATATAAACTAGCTTTGCTTGGTAAAATATAATTTTATGTGCAATCGTGATTGCATCAATGGAAGAAGTTGGCTCATGCAATATTTCAAGTTACTCCTCTGTCATGTGTTCAGATCTCTTCTGCTTGTTTATTCTACAGACACGAATAACGTTTTGGTTCAACCTAAACAGATAAAAGAAAAGAAGTGAAAAAGAATGGTTTTCTACCTTACATAACCGGGCATCTTTTTCATTTCACATTTACTGAGTATAGCTCACGTAAAATAGTCGGTCTTATTGAATCTGGAATAAGTTTCGATTCATATCCATACTGTTACCAGTTATGTAACCAGTAAGTATGCTATGTGTATTGATGACGATGCACGATCGTATAGTGGAATTGCTAATTTATATGAAACTAAATTCCACGCGCGATTAACAACAATTTAATCATGAATCTGGGCTTATGTACTCAATATTGTGGCGTGGCTCCCATGACAGTGTACAGTAAACTGTATGTAGTTAACGTAAGTAAGAAAACTAAGAAGTTTCTCTTTCCATAATGAGTTTCATCACTAAGATTCCTATAATAGTAACATTTCTGCACTTTTTTTTATGTATTTTTATCCTAACGAATATCTTTTCATAATCGTTTTACGATTAGGATTGTGAATAAGAAATTGAAGCTTGAGTAATCTAAATACTTATTACACCAATTTTAGTGAATGGTGCACAATTATATGCGCGTAAACTGATCTGTTTTTATGCGTATACATTTATCCTCATATAATTTCCAAGATAAAAATTGATGTCACTAATCTTATAGAAGTTATGTATTTTGCATGATTAGAATATAGAATAATCATATGAAATACCGGAAAAGATGCAAAATTCGTGTAAATAGAAGAGATAGATTTGTGTCTAGTTAGTAACAGGTGTACTCCATTACTTCTACAGTTTTCAGAGGTAGCTTTTCACTGTAATGACCTGCAGTGATAAAGAATGGCTGCTTTTAATCTGGTCATAAACCTTTTTCTGTGATGTTTTTTTGACTAGACATATTAATGAGACTGAACGTGGTTTACAGAAGCGTGGCAGTGAGATGCCAGAAACTATTACTCAACTTCAAGAGGGCTATTATCTAAAGCGAGAGATTGTTGAAAGTCACTGGGATAGTTGTATCAGTGCATTGAAATGGGAACAACGTCAAGCCCTGAGGAAATTTGTAATGTCCTTTGAAGATCATGTGCAAAGTTTATCAACGAACAATAGTCAGATCAACTTTTCACAGAAGGATATGAAAGACAGGTTAGTTGGTCGTTATTTTCTCTCTTTTCGGTACTATTCTCATGAATACATTTTATGAAGAAAGGTTTTTCACCGAACGTTCACGTTTCATCTCAATTTTCAAGACTTGAATATCTTGCTGCGTACACTCGTTAAGTCTTGTGAGGTACTTGATATATCCGGTACATGTTTTGTGTAATCAGATTATATTGTGCAAAAATAAAACTCAACACATGTAGGGGTCAGAGTGATCTGACGCAGTCTGTTCGCTACGGTAAACGGTTTAATTAGAAGAATTATGAAAACGTAAACATGTAGACTTGTTATACAGAGTTTGCAACCAAAGGAAATGAAATCAGGAGTATTTAACCTGAAAACTGGACGCCGAAAAAGCGTGTATTGTTCACTTCTAAGCCGTATTTTACAGAATTGAGAACACATATGTTTGATATGTGATCTTGTGTTTCGTATTTTACAAAGTATCAATCGGTGTTATTTGATTTATCTTACCTCTTTCTTTGTTGTTACATGAACCTTTAATATATCCAACAAACTATCTTATCTCAAGTCTAGTTTTTGTTTCACTAATTTCACTACATAAATATGGTAATGTGCGATAGAATACGCAATATACACCAGGAGTACGGATGAAGACAGTTATTCATTCCTACTTGGCTTTGATATTTGGTTTTATCATTAGACTTGATAACTTTATAAAACAGTCAGTAATGTACAAGGATAAAAGTTAAACATATGAATCAGAACCATTTGTCGTTTTATCATGAAACTCGAACTACATAGTTTTTATTTGTCTATGATATTCCAAAAAAAACAATGTTTCGAAAGAGCTATTGACTTCTTTAGTCTTCTGGATAGTTATAAATGTTTAGCCTGTTGGTTCAAAGTAATGCCGAAGGCAATAGTACAATGAAGCGAAACGCCTCGCTTTGTGTCAGGACTAGCTAATCTATAAAAAAAATATGTGATAAACTTAAACAGGTAGGTATATACAATTCTACAACCTTTGGAGAATCCCTAGTCACAATAACTATCTAGTCGGTATTCCTAGGCAGGTATTCATGCTCCAAACCGTCAGATAACTATTTTTTTGGATGATACAGCATGATACGATCATATAGGGACCTTTTTGCTGTACTACTACAGTAGACATATTCTAAACTAGTTACTGATTAGAAATGTACATACATATTCAGTTAATCCCAGGTCTATGCCAATTTCACATTGTGCAGGACATTGAAGCAAAATGGATACTTATAATTTATAGTGGTAGTATACCTAGCATAGATCCTCAAAGACATGTTCGTTCTAAAGTACACATTATATTTGGAGTATTAAAATTGCATGTGCTTTATATAGAAAACTCAGATTGAAACTTTTCCTCATGTTTTCATTTGGTCTTAAAGTTCACCTAAAGCATCGCAGTCTACAAAAAAATCGTCTCTAATAAATAATCGTCCCATTTTCAAACGAAGCGATCATATTCCATTGTCAGAAACCTTTACTGTACAGTTGGGACGTCAATTACGGACAGTATTCAATTTTCGTTTGACTCGAATGGATCCATCAGAACTAATAACAGATAAAAGGTCCAGAATTCAAGAAAATCAGTTGAGTTTTTAGTTTTTTGGAATGGAATTTGATTAACTGAAAGGTTTTTAATTCATGATATAATTTAACAGAAGGTTTTTGAATCTGTAAATACATTCGAACTTCTGTGTTGGTCAACATATGAAGAACTGCTTCACCCCCTAGTAAAGCATACCTATGCCTTCCAAGAAACTCATATTTGGTTGCTCCTTTTCTCGTCTCATTCGAGACTTATTCAACATTTTGTGGCAGTAGGATATATTTACTTGCATTAATGGTTGCAGTTACAAAATTCTGTCAACAAACTCTAAAATAGTTTTTGAGTATCGGTCAATAGATTGGCGTCTCTGCAATGATTTATAGGCATTGGTAGTCATATGAAGTTTTTCTGTATACAAATTTCCATAAGTAGTAATGCTCACTTATTTTCGCTCTATATTACACACTGTGCAGCTATGCAATGACATCCTCACCTTCTGTAATAAATTGGAATTTCTGATGAAGAGAAATATACTTTTAAACGCAAGTATTTACTGGTGTGTTTAGCATAAAAGTGCAATACAGACACGTAACTTCTTACTGAGAGAGCTTGTCTTCATGTGCCTAGGATGCTCATGCGAGAAATTACGCTACATTGACGTAAAAACTTCAAGGTCTGTGGGTCAGAACGAGCAAGTAAGGTGGGAATGGTAGCTGCATTATATAATTTCGTATTTCATCCTTGAACAGTTGTTTAAGTCAGTTGTAATTGAGTTTAGACTTCGCAGCGTTGCGTAATAATCCAAGTTGCCACACTTCACATCAGCACATCAAGATAGAAGGCACGAAGATGGAAGATCGAGAAATACGAGAGAAACTAGTCAAGAGTAGTCGCAAGGAATGGGGGGTGAAACCAAATTCGATATGATGATCAAGATAAAGTAAACGAGATCGAATCTGAGTTATATCACCAAGAGTCTCCAAAAAACCGATTTGTATCGTCGCATGAACCCTAACCAGGAAGTTTAGATTTAAAGTTGGCATTCGTCATGAACTGACATCAGTTGGAGGAACATTGGAAACCTGGGAGCACTGGATAGCTATTTAGTCCCAGTATGGGACTTCTCAGCAGTGCGCACCCATGACTCCGCCCCACCAGGAATCAAACTAACGACCTTCAGGTTCCGTGGCCAGCACGTTACCATTGAGCCACTGGGTCAGAATTCAGTGGTCCATATTTCCAACTTCTGTTAGTTCATGATGAATACCGACTTGAAATCACTAAATACCCACAAACTCCCAATTAAGTTTACATTAACCCTGTCGCCTCAGGCCGACAGTAAGAGACTTCATGCAGTCTGGTCAGTTTTTAGTTTGGTCACCTTTCACATTTATCCAGCGGAAACCTATTGCGGCTGATATTGCACAATGCACTAAATAGTAACTATACCTGCGTAACACATTTCTTAGTCACAATAATCGATGAAGGTGTTCAACTTCAACAACTAACTGCCTTAAATTTTATGTTTGATTTCTGCAATACTAACGTTATGGTTCCTTGACACAAAGTCTTTATTGCGATGACAACAGTGGTCAGACTGTTGAAACCTAATTTTCTCCACTTTTAACGGCTACATTTCACAGCCACATTGTAGAACGAGGTGAACTGCTGTCCAGTACATTGAGTCATCAGTAGCTAGCCCGACCAATCACCTGCATTATAGATGGCGTAAGTTGGGGAAAGCCGATAGAGCTTTTTGTATTCGCACGTCGATTTCGTCGGTCACCCGACCGACAGCTGCTGCCTTTACTTAGTGGTTGGGCTTGCGTATCACAATGCCCCGACGAACTATATTGATGTAATACGTGTTTTCTGAAGGTCCTACCGTACCAGAAAAGTCAGATAAATAGCGATAAGGCAAAAAGCAGTTACCGTTATAGTGTAAATTGCTGCGTGATGATGTGGGTCTGAGGGCGAAGCCGTACTGCTAGCTTGACTGAGGTCTCACAACAGCAAGGTGTTTCCCACAGATGACCAACGGTCCCACTCTAATGCTGCCTTCCCTATGGAAACGGGGATCACGAAAGGTTGACCTTAAAGATAAAACACCCCTTTACCCCTCGGTATACGGGAGCCAGTGATAATCGGGTTTGCAAAAAAGGTAAACATCAAACTTCTATAAAGGTCGTGTGTAACCTACCTCAAGCACATATCCCTTGGACTCTACGGTTGCTCAATAGTCCTTCCTTTCTGGGTACTTGAAGAAGGACCAGTCTTGCACTGTGTGGGCAGCTCGAAAGTGCCAGTGGTCCTCAAAACTCTCCAACACTGAAGTTCCTTCAGACTACTGTCCACCTTTCAAATCCTTTACTTCCAGTTTTCCTTCACGTCTCTTGGTCGACTTTCCTACATTTTTGTTTCTTACAATTCTGCAGTTCTTGGTGACGATTCGAGTTCATGGAACGCCATAACTGGTCTCCGGAAAACCCACTCCAAATTGCACATTGGAGCTTTGAATGTCTACACGCTTCGTCAAATCGACCGACAAGTTTCGCTAACATAGTACCTCAGGCCATGTATATATGCTGTGTTTGCGAGACACCCATACAGGACCCAAGTTTGGTTATTCACTTAATCTCACCCGGTCGGCATAGTGAATCCGCAAAATTACCCTTCGAGTTTCTTGAGATTTGATGGCTAGTTGTCGCGGTCTTGCAAGAGTAGGTATAACATTAGGTGCTAAAGCAGAAAGTGAACTTTTCGATTGCATCCTAGCTGACAGTCGTCTGTGTGCTATTCAAGGGGACTGTGAAGTAAAAACTAAAAAGAACAGTGAAACTCGCCGTTGTCTCTCTATAACCTCTGATACCGCACCCACTAACTTCAGGTGGACGAAGTGAAAGATGAGTTCTACTAAAAACTATGTAGCTTTCTGCAGAGAACCAAAAACTCAGTTGTAGTTGTCGCAGCAGATGATTTGAATGCAAAAGTGTGTAGGATTAAGTCAGACAGAAAGGCACTTATTTGAGACTATTGGGATTGCAGCCGAACACTAAGACAACGGAGATAGCGTGCTACTACTGTGTTCAGACAAACATTTATTTCTGGTCGATGCGAACTTCAGACATAAAGAGAGTCATTATCTGACGTGGCATCCTCTGACCTCAACTCAGTGTTGTAGGCAGATACACAAAGTACTTGTCAGTTATTTCTGAAGAGGGTCAGTAGAAAATTTACGCTTCTTCCAGACCACATCTTTGGACAGCGACCATGCGTCGTTTCGACCACGTGGACGTGGACGTAGATAACCTATGGCAACAAGACCATTGTGAGTACCGCTTGACAATGAGAGCATTAAGACTGCTTTCAGTGACAATCTGGATAAACAGTTATCATGACAATAACATCACTCATCCGGACGAAGCCTAGTGTCATCTACAGTCTGCTGTATAAACACCGATGAAGACCGTGGCCGACTCTCAGAGAGTGGTTTAAAAGGGTTATTGTGTACGCATCCATGCAGACTCCGAGCACAGTTAAGAGAGGAGGAAGCAACTTAAATGTAGACTGACAGGTAATCTAGCCGGTGACTGCAAACGGTGGTGGGCACTGAAGGTTAAAGAGATGGACAAGGTAGCGGTTATAGGTAGCAGCAAACAATTATTCAGATTTATCCAGGAAACTAAGATGAAGGGGTCAGTGGCTAGTGAGACTGTAGCGGAGAAAAACTCATAAGGGAGACGATTGGATCAATGGGCTGATCACCTTGAGAAACTGCAACTGACCCTGAGCTACTGTTTGTTGCCAGCTCTCCAGTCGGATCTTGAATTGAATATTGGGTTAGAACCTCCAACACTTCGAAAACGTTGTAAGTAATCTGTAACGAGCAGGGGTAGTAGGGTCAGATGGACTAATACTTGAGGTATTTGTGGACGGTGGTAGAGAACTGTTGGTCAGATTAACTGAAGTGTTAACCAGTATGTTTTAGTCAGTTATAATTTCACTGTGACTGGTTTCAATTACTGATTGTCCCAGTCTTCAACAGAGGGGAGAAATCTCGTGATAATCACAACTAATCAACCTGATGAAAAACGTATCTCAGACTCTAGGTTCTATAATCAGTAGACGTCAGAGTGGAGCTTGAGAAGAGCGAACCTGAGAAGACGAGGCAGGCTTCAGACATGGCCGTGAGTGTGCGAACCAGATATTCACCCTCTGCTAGGTTCTGGAGCCCAGTCACATTTACCGACGCCTGACACTGGCTGTGTTTAACGACCTGAAGACGACATTCGACTCCATCAATCGAGAGATATTACGATCGTGTCTCATTGAAAGGGTCCGGAGTCAACATATCACTTTTTTGAAGGCTCTGTAATCGAACACCCGCGGGCGTGTTGGGGTCTCTGGTGAGTTTTCAAGTTAGTTGTGTACGTCAAAGATCTCCAGTCTCTATTCTTACTCAGTGTGATCATAAACATAGTTATGGAGGTCTCCCTGTCGTTGTCTGCTTTCATAGAGATTGGTCTCACCACAGGGGAATCCTTGGTAGATCTATTGTACGTAGATGACATGTTAGGTGAAGACCCTGACAAGATGCAAAGTCTTTCGAACACCTTGAGTGCCAACTTGAGAATGTTTGGAATGCGTTTCTTGCTACCCGAATGCAAATATTTGCCGTGGGATTAATCTTCGGCGGCCCCCCGACCAACAATAGGGAGTGAAGGGGTTGAGTGCGTTAAACATTTCAGTTACCTGGGAAGTCAGGTTAGCCCTGGTGGGTCAGTAGTCGACGAAATCTCTTCATGGATGTAAACACTCGATGGGTTTTCGCGAATTTACTCTAGCTATGGCACCGCCGTGATATACGACTATCTATTTAGAGTCTAGTATACTGCACCGCAGTTCCTTCTGTTCTATTGTATGACTGTGAAACGCGGTCATTAAAGATAGAGGACATGAGAAGGCTTCAGGTCCCTGACCATCGTTGTCTTCGTAGCGTAGACCATGTGTCGTTGTCACCGCGTCCTCACTAGTATAGAGGTCAAGTGTGAAGTTTTGGGGAGGAAAGGAAAGTCAGTTGATAAGGTCGTGAACCTTCATTGACTTAGATGTCTGGGACATGTGTTACGCATGCCTAGTATCCGTCTACCTCGTTGCACAATGTTTGTCGAAGTATGTTCAGGTTGGAAAAACGTTCGGGGCGACCAGATTAAACCATGGCATCAGTGCATGAAATCTTTGACTGTTGGTAAGAATCTTGTAGGGAAGTGTAGACTTCCCGGCTGGATTCCGCCTGACAAGAGAAACCAGTGGCTGGAAACTCTAAGTTATATGGCTCAGAATTGATCTTTTTGGCACAGGGGCATCCATACATTACCTTCATCTTAATCGTCATAATAATTTCAGTATTTTTTCCTTCTGCCTTGTTCTGTTTTTGCTACTTTTTACCACTTTTAATTACTCTCTTCTTCACTTATTTATCTTTCTTCTGAGTGCATTCTCACTTGATGGGCTAATATGAGGTGTGGCAGTAATTCTTGGTCTTGTGTTTTCTGTCACTGACCTACCTTTTTTTGATCGGACTTCCTTGATAAGTCAAGTAAAGTTGTCAACGCTCTCAACCACTACTTTTCTTATTGTCATATGCGGCATCAACGCAAACCAGTCCTGGATCAACAAGTTGCGTTTAAAAAACGAGAATACATCTCAAGTATTCGCAAATTGTTAATCAAGATGGTTAAAGGACTCTGTACCCCGCCAGCATCTTCACCCAACAGCATTATATCATCTACGTACTCTAGCTCTACTAAGAAGTCTCCTTGACTTCATCAGACTGATTATCATGTAGTTCTGACTAGGTTTCTCTCCTTGCTGGAAGACTGGGATACTTAGCAATCGAGACCAGTCAAGGTGAGTCATATCTGATTCCCGCCCGTCAGCTAACACGTCAGCTAATTTCACCAATAGTTTTCGTTTATTATAATCAAATACCTGTGGTTGTAGCCTATCCAGGCCTGCTGTCCTTCATTCCATATTACATGCAGCCTTTTCAACTTCTACAATAGTCTGAATCCCTACTCAGTTGTTTTATTCGGGATCCGACTGGACAGCAGGCAATTAAAGAGTAAGTGGAAACCAGTGTAGCGGTTGCCCAATGCCTTCATATCTTTTCAGTCGTATCCCCCGTGAGGGAACCCTAAACCCATTTTTCTTCCCTATGGTTTCATTAACCACCACATTTTCACCCAAGTTTTCTTCAGCCTAAATAACCATCTACTGTTACCTATCGTCATTACCTTTTCCATCTCTAACTTTTACTGCCCACCACGCTCATATCGCTGAATTCGGATTTGATAGTTTAAACCACTTACATGTTGTGTGACACATCTAAATCAGTCAGTTTTAACATGAGAAAGTTTTAGCCAATGGTCCTAACAGTTATCTATAGCGGTCTGAAAACATGTAAATGAATACCTTCGACGTTCTTGTTATTCTCATAATGGTCAGTACCGTCAACAGTTGCATACTTTATAAATGGTTTTGAGTTACGCTCATGGACATATGTTTTCCACACTGTTAATTATGCTTACTAAATATTCTTTTTTTCCACTGAATCCTTTATCCTTTGATAAGTGAAATTTCTGCCATTCACCTTGTTGTATGTTCATGAGTTCAATCAGAGACAAAATTGATCTCTTTGCCTGATGATAGTGACTCATATACTTAGCTTTGTTTTAGGCTCAACGAGATAAGTTATTTTGATTACAAGGTAAACCTTTCTTGTATTCCATTCTGTTCTATAAAGACAAAACATCAAAACTAGATTACGTGTAGTGTTGTTAACCTAGTTAGATTTCAGTTTTATTTACTGCTTAGAGACCTGCTTTCCAACTGTCAAAGTTTCTAAGTGTCAAAGTTGTATGCAATCAATTGAGAAAGTTCCATGTTACATGTCCGAAATTTAGTTTATTTTGACCACTTCAACCTTTCTATCACATTACTGTTAAGTTTATGTCAATAGTCAATAGATATAAGTACGAATTTTATTTCATCTGGGGATATTTTCCATATGCCGTGTTTCACTCTGTAATAATATTGATATTAGTATCCTTAGCTTCTATTGTAAAAACGTTAACCGTCTACCCTTTGTCAATTACTGAGTGTTGTTCATTTCTTGAAAGAAAGGGTGTGGTTATCTGTGTTACCTCCTGACTGATGTTAGCAGTACAGCTTAGTTATCAGTTGTGTTGGCTTGTTCATAATGTTTGGAACGAGTTATCTATAATTGAAATTAGGTTTCCAGATGGCAAATGTCAAAGAAATTCGAATTGTATTAAAACTGGTCTTAGTAACAGTAATACTGTAATTACTATTTTGTATGCAGTTTACCAGATGAAAATGCCTTAGCTGAACGTATGAACAATGCTTTAAACATTTACTCAAACAATTTGAATGGTTTAGTAATTCTCGTTGACAAAGGAGTAAACTCTTTTCGCGGAATTAAAAGACGTAAGTTAGTTATCTGGTTGTATGGCTTGCTGCAATTGTTGTGAGTATTTTTGTTTTCCTGTGTTTATACAGATACATTAATTACTGTAGATGAAACTTGAGGTTTAGTTGTTTCCTAGCTTCTATATGAATATTTAGTTTTTCATTATGGCATTCTTACCGAAATGGGATGGTGATAAACTGAAGTACTCAATGGCTATGATAATGTTGAACTCTGAATATTCTAGACTATCTGTAGCGTAAAGCGGTTTAAACTTCGTTGAAAAGATGCTGTAGTAATATTTTTTTTCTCTCTAGTTGGTCAGTATATAGTCTTTTTGATCACGAAGCTTGGGAAATCCCCTATGTTATATTTAAATGCTTCCTTGACGTGTTGATTGGGCTTGCATATCCCAATGACACAACAAGCTATGCTAGGGAAGCACTTGTTCCCTTTAGTCCCAATCATATCACAAAAGTTTGCTGAATAGTGATAAGACAAAAAGCAGTTACCATCATAGAATAAATAACTATGCTATAATGTGGGTCCGAGTGCGAAGTCTTACTATTGGCTGAAGGGATGTAATAGTGTCTCCATATAAGCGCACGGTCAACACACTTTTTGAGCTAATAGATAAAGTTGTGTAGAACACTAGACTGGGATTCTGTTTGCGGTTTCCATGAAATGCAGCATACATGACTACAGCAGTTTTTGGGAACCCTAACTGAAACTATTTTGTTAGGTCTGCATTCATTTCTGAATAGTGAAGGTAACCAGCTTAAACGGTACACGTGATTTCACTATGGATAGACCTTATATTGGCCTACAAAATGGGTTTGTGTAAGCAACGTTTTAGCAACTCAAGATGGTGCAAATGGCTTGGAATTTCAATCAATGAAAAGAACAGATTTGAAAAGGACAACGAAAAAGCAGTTTAGTTCTGAGTAGAAATAAAAATGATGATATGATACGCATAATGTTTGAGTATAATTTTGGTAACACCCTAAATTTAATTTCCAATAGGACCGCTTGGCAGGACGTTGTGACTTTTTTTGTTGTTTATTCATGATTTTTATATTGACTATGATACTTCCCGAACGCTCAGGCCAAAGGAATTGGGTTGGCTTAGTTTATCACTCCGAGCCATTAACCTAAGGTCTGTTTCGCTAAGTAGCGCAGTAATGTTAAGCGCTACATTCCCAAGTTCGTAGGTCATTCTTCCACTCTGTATCTTGGGACTGGTTTGGAGTTAGAGTTTTTCAACTTCCCTAGGTGGACTGCAAAACTAGCCATTACGGTGAATCTTCAAAATTCACTCAGTGATTGGCTCTA